AACTGGAGAATAGGGTCACCAAAGAGAGGTTTGACACAATGAAGATAGACTCGGATCAGTTTATCTTGCCTAAAGAGAAATAATATATCTTCAGGATGTGTCAGAAATTCTCTGGTGCCTTCTCCTTTAATGATGAAGAGAGAGGGCGATTAGACGTGGACATGATCAAGATGGCCAAGATTTGGACAGTTGATCATGTTTCATGGAATGATAGACCAACTAAGTATGCCTTGAAGGAAGAGGCAGAAGTTGTGAAGTATCTTGACAAAAAAATTGCATTTAATGTTGCGGAACTTGTTGATGGACCGTATGCTAACCACTGGTTTTGTTTCTGGAAACCAGGGGGCGGACTAAGATGGATACAAAATCTTCAGAAGCTCAATTCTGTGACGGTACGTGATGCAGGTAGTCTTCCTAATGCTGACCTCCTCGCCGAATCTTTTGTTGGTCGATGTATTTATTCTCTAGTTGACCTGTATTCTTGCTATGATCAGTTCTCTATTGATCCCACTAGCCGACCAATGACCGCCATGCACACGCCAAGGGGGCTTGTTCACATGTGAATGGTACTTCAGGGCGAGACTAACGGAGTATCAGTGGTTCAAAGGGATATGATCAAAGTCATGCAGGATATTTCTCCATAAATAATCAGTCCCTACATTGATGATAATCCTGTAAAAGGAGCCTTGGTAAGAGATGAGACTTTGGTCGCAGGGGGGGTCAAGAAGTTTGTTTGGGAACATGCCGAAGATGTAAAGATGGTCCTAGAGAGAATTCGGAAGTATAATCTGACTGCCAGTGGACCAAAGTCCCTTCTCTTCTAACCAGAAGTGATAATCTAGGGCTTCAGATGTTTCTTCAAGGTTAGGAGTCAAGATCCCAAGAAGATAGATAAGATTTTGAACTGGCCTCTGCCTCTCAAAGGAGTGACCGACGTCAGGAGCTTCTTGGGAGTCTGTGGATTCTAGAGGATTTTTATTCCTCATTTTGCTGCCCTTGCAGAGCTTTGAGGGAAATGGTAAGGCAATGTGTTAATTTAGCATGGAATGATAAAAGACAAACCGCAACAGAAACATTGCAAGAAAAACTAAAAGATGGTGGTGTAGTGCTGGGAGTACCAGTTTATGATGATGAGGAGACAAGACCTTTTATCATTGAGGCAGATGAAGGGCCAGTTGTTTTGGGTGGAGTGCTTATTCAGAAAGATAAAAATGGGAGAGAAAGACCTCTGAGATCTGAGAGTAGAACCCTCAATTCTACAGAAAGAGGCTACATCCAATTCAGGAAAGAGCTAATGTCAATCATTCATAGCCTCAAGTGTTTTAGGCACTACGTTTTAGGAAGGAGATTCATCATGAGGACTGATGCATCTGCTGTGATTGGTTCCATTAAAAAGCACCAACAGGTACATCCAATAGTCAGCAGGTGGATCGCTTTCATCTAGACATATGATTTCAAACTGAAAAAGATCCCCACTCAGAAAAACAGAGCGGATGACTTAAGCCGGATTGAGTGGCGAGAAGAAAAGGGAGAAGATATGAATGAAACGATTAAAGAATTTGCCTATGTTGATAAATTTCTTAATGAGAAAGATGATGAGGACTATGAAGTGTCATGCTCCTACAAGTGGAGTCCATGACCAGAAGAAAGAGACAGCTGGGGAGAAATTCCTAGTACGTACATTTATGAATCGATTCTTGAGAAAGAAGAGGGAGATGAACTAAATGATTGGTATGCTAAAGTCAATGCTGCAACAGTGGTTGCTCATGAGATTGGGAAAAGTTCAGGCTCGAAAGAAGAAGAAGAGAGTGAAAAGAAGGAAGAATAAATATTTTTATTCTTTGAAAAATATGATGAAAGTTATCAAGAGATTGGCAAGAAGATGGAAAGGGAACAACTAAAATTATATTATTGTAAGGATTCAAGGAAGAAATTCAGATTAAAGAGAGGACATCTCTTTGTGGATGGTAATGGAGGCTTACCTCAACTAAGAGTGGTCTGTGGTAAAGAGAGGCAGTTAGATATAATTGCTGCCCTGCATGAGGGGGTCGCTGGTGGCCACAGGGGTGCGGAGGCAACCTATTCCAAGACTGTCAAACTCTACTTCTGGCCTGGCATGGGAGACATGATTTTTCGATACTGTAAATCGTGTGTTTTATGTAAGAAGAGGTCTATCACAAGGATGATTGAGCCCCTATTCCTTACAATCCTGGTAGAGCCAGGTAGTAGAGTCCATCTGTATCTCATCACTATGCCTCCGGGCAAAGGTGAGATGAGATACATATTAAACATGAGAGATAATTTCTCTGGATATGTTGAGGCAAAAACTCTGAAAAGGAAGACGGTCGAGCACGTGGCAGACTGGATAGAAGAAGTCTATCTCATGTATCCTTTTATCAGAGTATTTGTCTCAGAGAGAGGATCAGAGTTCATAAATGAAATCGTTAGAAGAACCACACTCAGATTAGGTGGCAGAATTCGGTATGTGACTACTTATCATCCTCAAGCGAATGCACCTATTGAGAGAGGGCACAAAACTCTGAAAGATTCATTGGCCAAGTGGTGTGAAGGGAAACTCGGCAACTGGTCAAAGGTGTTAAGAGTTGCTGTATATGCTGATAATATCACAGTCAAGAAAACTACTGGTTATGCACTATTTACACTGTGGTATGACCGTTATGCTACGCTACCAATTGACAGTATTGTCAAGACATGGTCAAGTCAAGAAAGTGACAGAGATTATTCTATTTCAGAACTCCTTCAGAGCAGAATGAGGCAGATATCTGAAGTTGATCAGACAGTGATGGATGCAGCACAGAGAATAACATCCAGCAGACTATCGGATCAAGAAAGATGGAACAAGAAAAGATATATAAGAAAAGAGAAATTGAAGATTGGAAATGTTGTCCTTCTGTTTGACAGTTCTCTTGAGACACAATGGACTAAAAGGTTGGAGCCCAAATGGCTTGGTCCTTACAGAATTACAGGAGAAGCAGAGGGCAAAGTTTATGAGATATCATAAATGGATGGATCCAGGGTTCATGACATGGTATCAGGGTCAAGACTTCGTAAGTTTATCTTCAGAGACTCTGACTTGATCCCTACAGTGACTCCAAAGAGAGGAAAGAGAAGTCAACCATCCAAGTAAGAGAACGGTCATAGAGGACTGAGAAAGAGTATTGTAAGAAACTGAGACAGTGAGGCTCAGTTATCAACAGACAATGATCATTCTTGCATAGTCAATTCAACATTTTAGTTTCAGTATTTAAGTTTCAGTACTTCAGTTTCAGCATCTCAGTTTCAATATTCCAGTTTTCAGCAAGTCATTTCATTATCTATTTCGGCAAGCAACTAAGTTAATGAGACTATATCTTTGATGCAGCGCTGCAGTCGTTCCATGAGTGTCAAATCCTGAGAGTGGGGAGTAACTGTGAGTACAGTTCTGGGAGCATTGACACAGTGTCAAGATCTGAGAAACTCATGGTTGTGTCACATGAAATGATATAAGCAGTATTATTCTTATGACAAAGAGAAAGCATGATGGGCATAAAGAAGTTCAGTTCTGTCTGATTGAAAGTTATCGGCAAAAGGACTTCGTGTCTCTGACTAAGTTGTTCATCCAAGAGATTCAAACGAAGACAGGCATAAAGAAGTTCAACTTTACTTGACTGAGAGCTATGTTGCACGCTGGCCGCGGCCGGCGGCCTAGGCCGGGACCCCCTCGGCCGCGGCCGGCCCGACCTAGTTTTTTCGGCCGTGGTGTTGGCCGACCTGGGGGGCGGTTTTGGGAGCGGGGTGCGGGTTTGGGGTGGGGGGGGGGGGGGGCACCCCCTCAAAGTGACAGGGCTTAAAAAAAAAAAAAACGGGGGGGTCCTGCACAAGACCTTGGAAGGGTGGCCCGCAAAAAATCCAGCGGCCCCCGTGTGCAGGTTCGTCGATGCGGGGTCGCAGGGAGGAGGGTCTGGAACAGTAGAAAAAAATAAATAAAAAAATTTGACCCCTGCGGGGGCGGCCCAACGTGGGTTGGATGAGGGCCTGGTTGGGGCGGGCCATGCGGCGAGTCCGGGTCGAAGCTAGACGGGGTTGCAGATGGCAGACCTCAGGCGGATCAGGGCCTCACGCACGAAAAGGTAGACGTCGGTTTCATTAATGAGGGCGATGACAGTTCGTCGCTTATTTTAAAACAACACATTCATGACAATCATAAGTTAGACCCTATTTGGCATACCAATGTGAAAACACATTGCAAATCAATCAAAGTACGGCGAACCACAAGTTTTAAACAATGATAACAGGCAAGTGTGTCATAGTGTGTGTTCACTCATGAGACTGATGGACATTCATTAGCACATCATTTATGTAAGAACACATTCATTAGCACATCATCCCTATGTCGCATCTGAAATTAACAGCACATTCATAATGAAGGCATCCATGACATGCAGATGCGTGGCATCGGAGAAGCACATAATTTCCAACATTCACGACAACAGAGCAGAAAACAATCACCAAACAACAGCGGCTCAGATGCAAGACCAATGTTGGCGGAGGAACAAGAACAAGAGCAAATATATGACAAAGCATTTTAATGGAAATGCGTATGTGGCTAAAGCCAAAAACTGAACCCGTAGTCTCTACTCTACAACCAAGTAGCAAAAAAAAATTGGACCCATCGTTTCTGCTACACAACAGAGTACCAAAAAAAAAACTCGACCTGTCGACGGGCGTCGTCTCTACTTTACAACCGAGTAGCAAAAAAAAAAAAAAAAAAAAACCAATGTCCACATACTATCGTCGTCTCCATGGAACAACATCGACATAAATATGCTACAACCCTGCCGATAGAGCGTCCAGGCTGTACAGCCAAGAGGAAAAAAAAAAAAAACTAATAAAAAAAAAAAACACCACGGACGTCGTCATCTCCCACCAGAGCGCGCGTGGCCTCTCCCACCAGAGCGCACGCGTCCATGCGATCCTCCCCGGCGCCCTCCTCTCCCTCTGGCACTTGTGCCCCGTGCCCCACTGACGTATGCCACATGTGCTGCAGCGGCCGCCGCGGCCACCTGTGCGGGCCTCAGTCTCGATCGGCTCGGACTAAGTGTCTGTGTCCTCGTCCTCCTCCGCCTGTGCAGCAATCCCCCCCTCTCTCTCCCTTTGAATCGCGTCCAACACTGCCTGCCCAGCGGCGACCCCTACAGCGAGTCGAGCCTCAACCTCTGAGAGGCCATGCTGTCGTCTCGTCCCGGGACGCATCAACAACCCCTCCTCGCCCGATGTGAACTGCTCTCCCCGCAGCCTGTCCGTGGATGTCCCTGGGGCCTCAAGGACCAATGTCCTCCTCGTCTCCGCTCGTGACAAACCAAGCATGCGACCTGCCATCTGCCGGCTCGGACGTCCGGACCCGCCCTCCGCAGTCTGCGTCTGAGCAGGCGCACGTCCTGTGAAGACGCCCCTCCCGGTGTCGTAATCCACCCGCAACCGGTCCGTGACCCGACGAACAGCTGACCATCCGCCACCCACACCTCCTCGGACTGGCGGCGGGGAACCGCCACTGTGCGCAACTCCAGGTGCTACCGTCCGGTCCTCGGTGTCGACCCTGCCCTCCGGAGTCCGTGCGGGCGGTGGAGGCATCGATCCTGCACTATCTCTGTCGCCGTCGCTGCGTCTGCCGGACCCCACCTCACCCGCACCGGACTCCCTCCCTCTAACGCCCCTGAGCGACGAACCCGACCATTGAGGGCTCTGCACTGTGAACGGCAGCGGTGAATATACCCTCCCAGGGGCCCGCTGCTTGCCACTCTTGCGGCCCATGTGTGCGAAAGGGTCATCCGTCAACGCATGCGCCAAAGTGTCGACGTCGAAGAAAGTGTGCGCTGTGCCATCAGGGCGCATGGGAGGCACTGTGGGGTCCCTCAACACCAAGGCAAGCCTATCTGGATCATCCTCCGAACCGTGGTCGTCGTCATCGTCGCCGTCTGGTCCATCGTCTCCACCGGCACCTGCGGTATCCCCATCTCCACCGGGTCCACCCTCTCCTCTGTCGCTCGCTACGGCACCCTGTCCCTCATCACCCGCGGTCTCGCTGTCGCCACGGCCCCCACTAGGGGACCCACCGCCCATGACAACATCCTGCCCCTCATAATCAAACTCGCCCTGAATCGCCTCCTCAGGGACACCCGAGTCGTCGACGTCACGGCTCCCCTCCCCTCCTGTCTCCAAGTCCCTCTGCCGACGCTGCTCGTCGAGATACGCGAACCGACCCTCCCACCGTGGCAAACTCCTCAGCCGCTCCTCCTCCTCTCGGTCCAAACGGGCATGCCTCTCCTCCTCAGTCTCAACAGGGCCCCGCTCAACTTCCGCGTCTGTGCGCACATCCTGTGGTGAGGCACGTCGACGTCCCTCGACACTCAAATCTGCCAAGCTCCAGCCAAGCCCTATGTCCTCGAAGTCCTGTGTGCGGAGCACCGACGGCTAGCGGGGGCGGATACCGGCGTCGAAAGGAGTCCTCTCCCCCCCACGATCCTTGCCGTCATGTGTCCGGTCTCTGCCTGCTGCCGACGCCAACCTCTCCGAACGCCTAAGTGGCTCCCCCTCGGGCTGTGCAGAGATCGGATGATGGGAGGGAGAGAAGCGACGATCGCGAAGGTGCACGTCCTCATCCTCGGCCTCCCCCTCCGCCTCACTGTCGCTCCTAACCTCCCAACACCTGCCTGTGTGCCGAAGACCTCCCTGTGGCTGCTGCTCCTCCGAGTCGTGCACGCGAACCTCCGCATGCGAACGTCCTCCATGACCACCGCCGGCTCTGCTGCTACCACTCGCCGGCGCGGTCGACGGCACAACACCAGTGATAACTGATGTGAATGAATCTGTGTCATCACGACCCCCACCGTAAGTAAAGTACACTCGCTCAGCCGTCGGGTCGTGACTCAGCGGCGTGTCATCATCGTAAGTCCAGTCGTCGGCGATGTCGTCGTTTGCCACACCAGCGTCCATATCATCCCTACCCTTCGGCCACGGTCGCAGCTCCGTCGCTCTGTTGCCGAACACGTCCCGAACCGAACGGGCTCTGGACGGTCGGCTGTCACGGAAAGCAACAATCTGCCGCTGGATCTCTTGCTCGTGAACACTGCCATCAAGTCGCGCTCCCCATACCTCGGGCTCCACATCTCCCTCCTCCTCCTCCTCCTCTACCGCCGCCCCCCCCGACCGCTCCCCATAACCCATGGCAACACGTAGCCACCACCCTACCGTGCGCACGGCTCCAGTTTGAGATTGGTGGCAATCTCAACCAGCTGTGCAAGCTTGGCGAACCCAAGCTTGCAGCGCCTCGCCGTGCTGACGCACTCGTGCTCTGCCCAGTTCCTCTCCGCTGGAGAGGCAGACGTCCACAAGTGCATGACACTGATGGCGATGGTGCGCAACTCCGGGTGGGCACGTCCAGACTCGAACCACCACGCTGCACACCGCTCGGTCTCGCTGTCCCCCCTGCAATCTGCCGCCTCGGCATCGGAGAGTTCACGATCTCCCCAATCCCCTCGCCTCGAGTGGAACGCCCTCATCTGGTCCCTCACGGTCCTGTACAATAACCCGATCGGATCGCCGCCGGTCTGCGCCAGGAGAAATCTGTCGCACTCCTCGACCACAAGGCGGTCCTCGGTGGTCGTCTGCAGCGAATGGTGATACGTGAGGGACCGTCGGCGAGGAGGTGGGCCGCGGCATGTGCGGGCTCTAGCATGTGGAGGTTGCGGATGGCAACCTCACGCACGCACGGATCGATCATGTCCTCTGGCACATCGACCCTCCTCATCAACTGCAGCAGATGCTGACTCCACTCGTAAACGACGGGCATCATCATCCCACCTCTATCCATCCTGCGCAACAGCTGGTGGACTGGCGAGATGACTAGGATGGCGTAATAGACACGCCGCCAAAACTCCCCGTCCCGGATCTGCTGTTGCACCCACTGCGCCTAAGATACGTGGGCGGGATCCCATGGGATGCGTGCCCAAGCATCCCCGTGCAACATGCTCTCCAACGCGTCTCGTTGGCCTTTGAGACATGTCAGCATCAGGAAAACCGATGCAAACCGTGTCTCAACGGGCTCGACGGGCTGAACGCGAGGGCTCACCTTCCTAAAGAGGGCGTGAGCAGCGCCGTGCGATTTAATAAATCGCACAAGCGCTCGAGCGCGGATGATGGTCTCCTTGACCCACACCACTCGCATCCCGATATCTGACAAAATCAAGTTGCAGACATGGGTGGAGCAAGGGAGCCAAGTGATCCTCCTGATGTCAGGCTCGGGGTCTGTGGCGAACCTACGCGCTTCCGCCGTATAGTTACTGGCGGAGTCTGTGCATAAGTCGATCACATCCTTTGCAGAAAAGGACAAGATGATGGTCCACCGCCTACGGTACACGATGTCCGCTGTGTCTCAGACCGACCCATCACGTGCGACGGTGGCGTACAGCAGGGCGCCATTGGCGCCCCCTGCCAGGAAGTTCACGAGCGGCTTGCCGCTGTGTGACTTCCTCCCGTCGGAAAGGATAGTGGCACCGCTGTGCCGGAAAGTGGCGCGCACCTCGCTCACCATCGTCGCCACCTTCGCCCTCTGCGAAGGGATACCGGCCCCCGCTATAACTCTGAAGGAGGGAAACCGGAACTGGATAGAGCGAGGCACTCTCTCTGCTGTCTGCCGCACCCTCTGGAACTCCGGACCACGGAAGGCGTTGAATGGAAACTTCTTGACGTAGATCCACTGAAGCCACGCGTCATGGAACTCGGCCAACTTCTCCCTGGCGTACATCTCGACAATCGTGGTCTGTCGAGCCCTCTTCTCCCTGCCCGTGTCCGGCACCTCGATGCCAGCCTGCCCCACTGTCCTCTTCTCCCTCCTCGCGCGGTCCACCTCACCTCGCGGCACCCTAGTAGCAGGACCCACTCCACCGACGCCTCTCGACGTCATCACCACCTCCTCCCCTGGCAGGTTAGGCTCTCCGACTGCCTCGTCTGCCTCGTCTGCAACCGCCCCCTCCCTGGCCCCACCCTCGCGGCCCTCCTCCTCATCGAGGGCGTCCTGAATGTCGTCCCTCTCTGCGTCGTCCATCCGCTGTCTCTGGCC